GTCTATGTAGCCCATATTTTATTCAGCTATACTATTATCAGACTTCATTATTAACCCCAGCTTTCTATAGAAAACTTTTTCTGGTTCTGTAAATATACATCTTGGATTACAACCAATTGATACTAATAAGAGTTACTAATTTTTCCAGTAATTTCTGTAATTGTACTGCTTCCTTGAGACTTTTTTAAATAATAAAATCTTGATGCTTTGAATGCTTATAACAGTTTGACAATATTAAATTTTGGAAAGAAAACTTTCTTAAAATGTTCCTCTGTATTAACAACATCAGTTCCATAAATGTCAATTTACTGGAATCTAGTGTATGTCATGCATAGTAAAACTGTTCATCAGCATCACAGATCTTAATATGCACTTGATAAGGCAAAAAACCTAATGAGGCTGTAGGCCTGCAAAAGATTTTATAAGGTTAAATAAACATATAATTGTATGGTCACTTCCTGGGTCACACAAAAAACTATTTTTAAAAGCTTTCAGTGACAGAATTGACTGTTGGATACAATAGCCAATGAGAAATAGTAAGGTTTTGATTTAGGTGAGATTAGCACCATGTGTTAACTTTATACCCCAAATTGGTGAAAAAACACCAAAAAACCCAAGAGGACTGAACATGCTTAATGGTATGATGAGTAACTGGGAGGAAAATGGAATTTTGGAGAGTGTGAGAGAATATGATTGAACGGTTAGAAACTTGAACAAAATAATTGCATCATTGAACATTTTGTTTGGGTTCTTTTAACACTATAAGGCTGATGAAAGTAGAATTGTTCCTATGATAACTCATAATGCAGTATTGCCTTTTGTGGCAACATAGGATTCTTTGTCTTTTGTGGCAACACTAAACCAGCTTACTATTCTTGAACTTTCTACATGAATGTTATATAATTAAACATAATATGAGAAATTTCAAAGAAACTGTTAATTTTTAGTATTAACTGCCCCACATTTTTATATTTAAATGCCTTCTTTTATTTAAAGTTTAGTTTATATTTGCCTGGCTTCTAGGGCAAAGACATGCCTTAAATGTGTCCTTAGGTACTATGTACTGGTGGCAAGTTTTAATTGAAGAAACGTGATTCAAATAGTTTCTGCCTCAAGTATTTATAGCCCAAGAATTGATGACCCTTCAGTCTTCTGTTATGGGTCTCATGTCACAAATTGCCATTGAAACATTTCTAGAAAGAATTCTTTTTTCTGCTTTGCATTGAAATAAATAGAAATTGCATAAGATCTCATTTATGTGCTTGGGTGGAATATGTTATTTGCAAATGATGCTTCTCATGTCTACACTTATGATAAAAATGGAAGAAGTGTCTTTAAAAGATGTTTAAAACTTTATTATTTTAAAGTTTAAACATTAAAGCCACATTGATTGCAACTAGTTCTGCTTCGGATCACCTTGTTAGGAGAGGGTTGTACAATACCATAAGATGAATACTTGAATCTGACCTAAGTTTATAGTTGCGTAAGAGCTGTAAATACCTCTGGAATATATATTCTCTTCTGAACCTTTTCCCCCAAATATTACTGTATATGTTCATATACTTTCCCTTTCAGTTTGTAATCTTGCTCTAACTCACTAAGTGTACCTATGTGTCTGACCTTTCTTTCTCAACTGATTAAATAGAAGACAACTTCTAAATTGCTTTTCTCAAATGACTAATACCACCATCTGCCAAACAGTATGACAAGGACAATGATGTTATGCCATTGCTCATTCTATTGCCCCTGGTGTTGCAGTTCCATTCCTCATACTTTTTGTGAGGACTAAATTGCAATCAGTTGTAACTAGTTACTTTCCCTCTCGAAAAGCTGGACTATATTTTAATTGGCAAGTTCAACAGGAAGGTTGAGTAATGTTGAAAGTTATTGAAAGCCTGGTGGATCCTGTGTGTTAGGACTACAAGACACAATCAGAGATTGGTGATTGGAAACCCCATCTCTTTATTTAAAAAAAAGAAAAGCAATGATGGGATGGAGAGAACAGGATCCAGATGCAGATTTTGGTGTTGGGTTTGATTGTTAATATCTCTTTACTATGGTGTAACTTGCCTTTTTGATTTTAGGAAATGATCTTCAGTTGAGTGACTCTGGAAGTGACAGCGATGATTGAAGCTTTCAAGTTTTAAAGATGCATTATTTCCTTTGCTGAAGATGAAAAGACGTTTGTTTTGCACTAAGCTAAAAGTAATAAAATTAGAAGCATGTTATCAATTTTGATAATGAAGTTGACTTACTTTTTCTGACATGAAGTTCAGCATTCCTTCTGCCATAACTTTATATGGCTCTTCTAAATGTCTGGATATTTTAGCTGGATCCAGAGTAGCTTCTACTACCTCCTTTACTTAAAAGTTAAAACTTAACTTAAATGTGGAGGAAATACTTGTTTATAATATACATATTTTGGATAAAACTTTTACTTGAGAACCTTGGCATACATATGTATAAGTAAGAGAAAGCAAATAGCTGTTATCTCTTACATTTTTATTCTTGGGAGCTAACAGTATGAAAGGACTTGCTAATCAACAATATGGCACTATCCAATTTTGTGTAACTATTAAGCAATAATCAACACAGTCTGAATTTCCAAATCTTTTCTAGCCAGCAGTTTTTCGTATATGGGTGTTAATTTCTTGTCTTTGGTAATAAATTTGAATCAATTAATAGCTTTAGCATCTTGGTAACTAAAGGTATATCATTACATAGCATAAATATCCTCTTAAAATTCTGTTAAAATCAATGAATTGTTTTTGATTGGCTGAGAAACAATAAAATATTTATCATTTCCTTGATAACTTCTGTGGATATTGAAAACATTTGTGATCCTTTTGCCCTTTAAAACTGATATAAGGATATAATCTCTGACCTCATAATTACAAAGAAGTTATGAAGCATGCAGACAAAGAAAACTCTATAAGTATATCCAGACCACTCCAATATTTCATCCCACTGAGTGAAGTATTTTCCTATGTCTATATCCCAACTGTTATAAATAGCCATAAATAATTGTAAGATAGGGGGAAGTAATTTACATATGATCAGTGTGAATTCTAATACTTTGTGGAATATGTTTATGAATCAGCAGGAATGCTGGTTCTCAGCACTAATGTGGTCTTTTGTCAAGAAGATAATTGTCATTTTCAGAAACTTTTGCCTTGTACTAATTTAGTTTTCTGTGAGGTGAATAAGCATGTACACGGAAGTTAGAACAAGATGTGGCAAGTGTGCTCAAGGTCTGGCTGCAGGAGTATAAACATTTTCTTAGGTTCAAGAGACTTTCACAATGCAAATTCAGAGTGTTTTTGGAGCTGTTTGGCACTATAGCATTAGAAACAACGAAGAAAGAAAACTGGAAATTTGATTATGATCTCAGCTATACTACCTCTTGTTTGGAAACAGAATTGCTTCCATAATGTTGATCTGCTGAATTTTTATTTCCCTTCAGCTGCATAGAAGCTACTTTTTTCTTATTATGTGAATACTTCTGGGAGTGCACATAGTTTGAGGAAGCAGACAAACAATTGGCACCAGGTGTCATTTCACATGAGAAAGTCCCAAATGATTTGATCTTCTCTAGCCATGAGCCTATTTCATTCATATACAACTTGCAGCCATGTGAGATCATAACCATACAACTGACTTTTCAAGGAGGGGGGAGAGGCCGAATAAAAAAATCCTTGGAAATATGGTTCGCTTAAGGTGTTGCTTCTATTTGGCATGCCTAGCAATAAGTGCTTGACAATTATAACTGCTTTATGGATGTGATTATAACATATAACGTATAAACAAGCTATATCTTTACCTTACAAAGTGATGTAAATTGTATGAGTCTTGAATATTGCTTTCTATCAGTTCCTCCATGGAGTGCCCGTATGCATATCTTTTCTCACACAATGAAGGTGGGGAATGCCTTAGATTGCTCAGTCTTGAGATGACACTGTCTTAGCTGGATATTGTTGTCCCATCCACCACTCTTTTACTTATAAAGAGAAAGGATTTGAATTGCTTAACTGTCCTGTAGCCTGAAGCTAGTACAGGGGAAGAGGGCACAGGCCATTTATCAGCATACTACATTTTTCTATCAATGCAGCTGCAATAGACTGAGACAACATGTGACGTTGCATGATTCCCTGAAATATGTACAGAACCTTCCCATCTATTTCCAGTGGACTGGCTGCAAGCCTGGCAGTTAAATTTTCCCAGTCCTTGAAGGAACCTTGAAAGAGATTCTGCAATAGAAAGGAACAAACCCTGAGGCTTTTGTACTCTTTCTGAAAGAAACTGTTAATACATTTAGGCACAACCAAAGTCAATGAATGTGGAAGCAAACTTGAGTTTAAAATGAATACACCAGTGAGCATCACAATTACAAGATTTGGTTGAGGTTTACTGTTGTAACCCATCTCTGAATGCAATTAACTGTTAGGAGTGGCAAAAGTGGGTGGATGATGTGGCATAAACTGCAAGAATAAAGATACTTATGCATTAAGAAAAAGGCAAGTGTACCCATTAATTTTGTTCCTTTCTTTACTGTTTTGTTATATTTTTTGCATTTACCAGCAATGACGTGTTAGTTGAACCACCCAAAGCTACTTAGCTATATCAAGTTGATAAAAATGGGAGCATGCCATCCTTATAATAAGCAAAATTTAGCTTTGTCTAGTATGAGACATAAAACAAATGTATGAGATGTAATATTTTTATAGGGAAAGTTGGTTGTGTAAAGCCAAGAACTGCTTAGTCAAGTTCCTGAAAGCTACAAGATAATTGTTACCCATTAGAAAAACATTAACTTTTGCTTTGATGCATGCTAATAACATGTTTAATACTTTGGCTCCTGCCCTAGGCCAATCCAAGGTAACTTTCTTGTGAGTAGTTAATCTTGTTCTGTAATTCAGTCTGTCATGCTTTTGAATAACAGAGTACTCACAGCATATCTTTGTTTTAAAAGGAGACAGGAGAGGCTTGTTTTAAATCAGGAGGGATGAACTTCTGGCCCTCAAGATCATGTTGGCTGCCCCGCTCTCAAATAGCCAAAGATTGCTAGGATTTGACTTCAGTAACATCTACAGAGCGACTTAGCTAACAAGAAGTCTGCTTAGTTTTAGCTGCACCACATGCTATACCAAAAAGCCCAGTTAATGAGTCCCTGAGCATTGAGAACCCCAACCTACTGTGCCTGGCTTTTAAATTAGAATTTGAGGCCTAAATGTGCTGTTAAAACTGGATTTTCCAAAACTGGAATTTAAACATACAGCAAGTTTGGGTTACAAATATTGGGTTTTATTAAGCCACGGTATAGGAAACGGCTGCTAGATGTTTGATTTACTTTGCCTTTAAAAAAAATCTTGCTGTTTGTTCTTGAAGAAAAATACAAATTATTGCTACGTTATTTCTATGGATTATAGGATTAGTTTATTTTAAAACAACATACACCTGTCTTCCTTTCTACCTTCCTGCCTTCCTTTCCAATGTGAGACTTTTGCTTTTTTGAATGTACTATGTTCTATCAACAGCAACAGGATCTAAAAAGGTGCAATTCTGAACATTTGTTTCTGCCTGCAGCCTTCTGAATCTGAAATATAATTCATGATGTCCAGGTCATATGTTGCTCATTTTCATTTCTGATCCTAAATTTGTTGTGACAAGGGATTACTGTCTGAAGTAGTAATTATACACTTGCTTGTTCCTATAAATATCTCATACAGTGTTTTCAAATCCAACCTCATTAAAAAAAAAATCTTTGAGAAGGGATAGCCCTTGTTTGTAATATCTAGATTAAGAAATATAACATGGAAAAGAAGGTTCAGCTTGGCTGTTAACAGAAGAGAAAAAGCAACTTTTTCCCAGTCACAGATTTGAGAAGAAAAACAGTGAATAAGATGAAGAGAGAACCCAGTATCTACACTGTTCCCTCTTCCTTCTGCTTTTCCTGGATTTATTAGTATGGCATCCTCCTGTAAATTTGCTTGACTAGTGGCTTACACACTCTACTGACTTCAGCAAGATTAAGCATTAAGTATTGTTAATCAGCATCCTACCCACAGTGACTGAAGTTTTGCATTGTTTTAATTAGTTTTGAAATTGAGATCTAGTCCCTACTTTTTTTAGTCTCAGATGAGCTCAGCAATGCTTGAAAAGTTGTATTTTCCATGAAAAGCTGTGCCAATAAAGATATCTACCATACTGAAGACTTTTATTTTACATATTTCTCCTTGATTGTTATGGATAAAAAGGAAAAAAAATCCCTAATGGATAATGAGAACTAAAATGTATTGGTGGACTAAAGATGCTAGCAGGTAACTTTTCCTGTACTGGTGTTGAACTAAAGTGTTAAAATACTATATTGGGAATATGTTTTAGTGTGCACAGGAACCACATATGCTGCAGATTTAATTGTGGGGATGTTTATGAGTTAGAATCAGCTGTTATAATCAGGGGGCAGAAACACCCAGGGGAAAAATATAAAAGTAGATGTTCAAAAGCTGTAAACTGCAAGCACCAGTAGGTCTGACATTTCCATGGAAAGCTCAAATGCACACAAATCAAGTACAGTTAACCTTCATGGTGGAAGCTGGGGCTAATAAAATCTTTTAGTTTATTAAGCTGACACCTTGTCCTAAGAAACAGATCAGACTCAGTTGCCACTTATCATCTTGTGAATGCTCCCTATCTTTAACTTGCATTTACAGTACAGTACTTGATCTTCACATAGCAGTATCAGGTTCAATTGTTTTTCAGTTCTATTTCATGAAACTAACCACAGCCCTGCTCTCAACACCTCCATACATATACATAATTTATATGCAATCCAGTCAATTCAGACAAAACACTAAACTTTGTGCTCAATAAATATTACATTGTATCCTCCAACAATGTGCTTTTTTTCAAGTAGACTTGAATTGTTCTTAACAGATGTGCGTGCTTGCTGCAAGATGTTAACCCATTGTGGATTTTGTTTGGATGGGCGTTAGGAAGAGAATAGCCTTTTTTTTTGGCAATGCTAATATGTTTCTCCCTCAGTTCCTTGAAACCTGGTCCCGTGTTATAAAGCAAGTATGAAGAAAGAAAGCTAGGATCCTCACTGTGGTTGTCAGAGCAGATTGGCAGATCTGAGTTGAAGCCATTGGATGGCCTAATTCAGCTTCCCCTCGCCATGTATTGGTTTCTCTTTTTATTATTTAGACTGCAGGAATACAGGCTTCCTCAAGCTT